TGTAATGTGATCACTCAACACTCACGTATTGCAACTGGGGCGCGGGGGCGAAAGGCAAGTACCCCAATGTCTACGACAACAAACATGATTCATGAACGCTGACAAACGATCATATTATGACCCAGGGGTTAAGGTTGGAGCCCCTGGAACGGAAGATAGGTCATGGGCAGGGCTCTCGTGCCGAAAGCGGCACGGCCCTTTGGTGCTAAACCCTAGGAAGGGTTTTCAGGTCGAGCGAAGCTCGACCTGTCGTAGGGAGCGAGGGAGGGTACGAAAACCCTCCCAAATATTTCGGATGATGCACGAAACTTACGCGAGTGCTCGCGTGGGACGCTGATGGACCGGCGCTGCGGCGCCCTGCGGGCGGCACCATCAACTTAAGTCACAGCGATTCAAAGCAATTTACACAAAATGACGGCAATTTTGGCTCTCAACTGTGTATTTACTGCTTTAAACTACTCTTAATGTACCATGTCAAATTTTTCTGCGCGCTGCGCGCGGTATCTGCGACAGCATCGGCGTGCACTGGTAAAGCGCGCACGAGCCGACGCTTGCCTTATTTGGCGAGCTCGCGCTCATCCGGCAGGGGCCGGGACAGCTACTCTCGCGCACACGCTTGCCCATCCTATAATGCATGTTCAATAACATGTCATGTAGCTCTAAGGTACTTTTAATACAAATCAATCATAAATTTATTTCATTCTGGCTCGTCATCGCCGTTGTCGACGACGACGACGCTTGGCCGTGGGCGACGAGCGCGGGCCGGCGGAGGTGACACCTCATTGGTTGAGCGGTCTTTCAAGCGCGTGAACTTAGTAGGGTCTGAGACCCTAGACTAGGGCTAAACCCGGGTTGGGGTTCCCGATTGGTAACCCTAGATTAAAACCCTGGGAATGACCCTGCTGCCCCTGGAACCTCGAAACTGTAACCTTGAAGCTTGAAGCTCGAGACTTGGAAGATTCAAACGTACGTCAACTCTGAAGGTTATATGAAGTATACAGCGTCGGCCAGGTACCGCCGCGCGAACGCTGACGGTGCGGATGCGGAAGGCAGGAGCACGTAAGACAATGAAAAGGAGATCCCCTTCCATGCGTCCTGTGGCGACGGGTGATTGCGCACAATACCGTGCTGCGTGCACGTCCGTCTGTTCAGGGGCGGCGTCGATGGGTCATTCATACACACTGCTATGTCCACCACCGACATGCGCGTGTTTGTGTTCCACGGCCCTGTACACGTGTCTGGTGCTAGTGAGTACTTTGTCTGACCGTGGGGTGCACAAGAATGCAAACTCATGTCATAACGCAGGAAACAGTGAACGATGCAGCGACTTCGAACTATACGTCTATATTGGCGACATTGTGTAGCTCGTCGTCGGCCACCGGGTGTGGTCGCCGGAGGGTTACACGAAGTCTCATTCATGGGATGATAAGTGCAACGACATCATTTGAAGGCTCATGCGGTACGTTAGTGTATGTGACTAACGATTACTTAGGGACTGCAAGAGAACTAGAGGTAAGCACCCTGCAGCTACGACGCCATAAAAGAACAAACGAACAAACGAACGCTCGTGTTGCTGTAGGACATGCACGCAGGGCGAAGCGCGTTGGTACTGAATGACGCGGGTTCTTTGAAACTTCCGAACCTTGAAGCTTGAAGCTCGAAGCCTGGAAGACACATCACGACTCTGAAACTTGCATGAAGGGGCGAGCAGGTACCGCCGCTCGTTGGTTACGGTACGTGGTGGAAGCGGAAGGATGGCGTACGTACTTAGAAGCAGAGCAGATCCCTCTCGTCCTCGCACTCATCCTCCCCGCCGCGCAAACCCTCGGGGGGTTCGGGCCGCGGCGGACCGGCGGACTCGTCGGGCCTGTACATGCCCGCGCTCGGTCCTGGCAGTCCCATCAACGTTGACAGAAAGCACTCAGAAAGCGAGCTGCGGCAATTTGACTCACGATGTGCAGCGTGCAGCGCGTGCACGTCTGTTCGGAAATCTGAAGTAAGCGTGCGGCAGCACGTCTACTACTCGGGAGCTAGGACAGGTGGCGGGGCAGCATGCATGCACGCACGCACGTCCATCTCGCGCTGCATACAACACGCCGACGGCGCGGAAGACACACCGTATCTCGTCTCATCGGTGTGTATCGACTCTCTTTAATGTTCTCTGTACGTGCTAGTGAGTACTTGAGTGCCTACTCGTCGCACGTTATACTGAACTAACGGTCTCTTATTTGCAGTCGCAGGGCGTCGTCAAACAAACCGACCGACGAACACGGCGGACTGTTCTTATGTTGTATTGCGACCGAAGTCTTAACTGCACCCGAAGTCCTATCAAAGCGTGCGTAAAGACTTTCCATGTCCCATAATCTATTGCATTGAACTGATATACGAAGTGGGAAGGACAAGGCATCTACTGGTACAACAGCGGCGTATCTGACTCTCGTTCAACAGCGGAACGCTCCTTTGGCTATTTGGGTGTTTAAGGGTGCGACGTTCATTCCGGTCTATTCGGGCTAGGATCACATCGACATCAGTAAGTTCCAACCGTCCAGGCTCATATTTGCACAAACTGACTCACTGATTTACCGCGAGTACGGGTGCTGTTCAGGTGTTGCGGTGCTTAAGGCGCAGTCGAGGCGGGCGCCGTGCACTTAGCGTTAAGCGGGCACGCGCCCGGGTTGCTGTTCACCAGCTCGCCGTTCTGCACGACAGCCAATCAGCATCAGCCCACCAGCCACGCATCAGTGCGCCCGCCACATCTCGGGCGCGCGAAAAAGAAAGATAGAAAAAAATAACTCAGGGCAAAAAGCGACATACGGAGTTCCACGTACACGGCCCGGCGAGGTACATGCACTCGTAGCCCGAGAACTGGTTGATGAGCACGCCCGCGTCGCCGTTGTTGTCGCGCGGGCAGGCGCAGCCGGCGACGACGTTGCAGGGCGCTTCGGCGGGGCAGTTCGTCTGCTGCGGGTTCTGCAGCTCGCCGGTCTGGCGTCGCACACAAGAACAAAAACAAAAACAAGAGTACGCTGTTAGTCCGCGGTACTACCGCGACACGAGCGGGACAGAGACGCAGAGACGCGCACCGAGTCGTCCCAGGTGCACGCGCCGCCCGGGTACGCGCACTGGTAGCCGGGGTACGTGTTGATGAGCACGCCCGTCTCGCCGAGGTTGTTCGTCGGGCAGGCGCACGAGCCCGCGGAGGTGCTGCCCACGCACGATTGTGTGACGCTTTGCAGAGAGAAGAAGTCGCGGATTTGGACGACGTCGCGCGCGGCGGTGCGCGCGGCCGCGCCGGACGCGAGGAGCACGAGAGCGAGGGAGGCGAGGGAGAGGCGGGCGAGCATTGTCGAACGCGGGATTGGGGGATGTGGTGGCGGGTGGGCGAGTTCTGGTAGCAGAGGGCGCTGTGCACTTGAGCTGAGCGGGCTGTTCTGCTGGTCCTCTCCCTTCTCCAGCTAGCCTTTTATACGCAACCAGGCAACACCCACTGTACATCCCGACGCGTGCACATCCCTCCAGGTTCCTCAAGCACCGCACACACCACGGGACCCAGGCCCGCGCGCACCCAAAGCCCGCCGTCGACACCCCGTGAGCCGTGCGCGCCACCGTGACAGACAGCTCGCACGGCCGGCCCCGCACATCGTGTTCAGCGTACACTGCCCCGCGCCTCAAATCGGCAGCGTGCACCCCTGCTGAGGCACATGAACGCGAAAGGGGCAGGCACACACCCTACTGCACCGTGAAGCATGCGGTCTGGGCTCGAGGGGCGGTGAGCGCGAGGGAGAGGATGACGGAGCACGATGAGCAACGTGCGCGATGGCTGTGGCCCTCGGTGCCGAGGCGGGCTCGGGATCGCGGGGAGGGGGAAGGATGAGGCGGGCGCCGCGGGTTGTGTCGATGGATGGCCGTATCCTGAAGGTCATTTGGAACACCTGTGGGTGTGGGCGCACAATGAGAGCCAGGGACGGGATGCCAGTGCGAGTCCATGCAAGCTGCGCTCCAGACTACAGTATTTGTCGGGAACAGCACATGATTCTATGCATACGAAGCTTGTACAACGGCAAGGGGTAACGGCGAGGCGGCTGTCCTTGTGCCCGCGTCGTAGCTTTCATGAAGTCGTTGTTGCAGAAGCGGGGTGCACACCGTTCTTTCTCCCTAGGCACAGACTCGGCCTCTCGTGAGCATGATTTTTCCAGGCCGTGGGGTGCTTACCTTTTGCTTCCTGATGGGATACCCGTGTGCTCTTGAGCACACATGAACGTTTGAACGTGCTATATCCGAGACTCAGTGTAGTAACCCTCTCATATCCGCCACACCCAGTGGACTACGAAGCCTCAGATACAGGCGTCTTCTACGGCTCCAAGACCTGCAAACCATCGTAGTATTCTGTTCAAATTCTGTTCAACGTTCAACGGCCGCGTTGTAACATCAACCTTCGTTTCCTTCGCATCCGCACGCAAGACAAAGTACTCACCAGTATCAGGCACGTTGGACACATACAGGGTCGCAGGACGACGGACACGGTCATGCACGTACTGTGATGTTGAGGCACAAGGCAGCGTATACGGTATGCATGGAGTGACTCGGACAACGACGCCACCGGCGATCGCCGAGCTCTGCAAAGCTCCTGTAGTGTCTCCCGAGTAGACGTACATGGTGCACGGTGTGCGACGTACGCGGCGTAGGCCGTATACCTGGAGGTGTCACTATGCGCGGGCACGCGGGCACGACGCGAGTAGTACGGCGCGCGTGGTCCATCTGAACAGATTTGCAGGCTAGGCACGGCGGGTGGTCCTGTACAGACGAATTTTGTACGCGTGAGGGACGACGCGTCGGTGATAAATCTCAAATGGTGGTCACTTACAAGTGGTTCACTAAAGACTTCTCAAAGCAGGAAGTGATGGTCGACGCGGATGCAGGGACTCGGGATGAGCGATCGTGACCCGCGTCATAGGCTATCCACGGAAGTCCAGTGAGAGTTGAGTGGGGAGCATGTCGCAGCCGAGATAGCTCAGCTGGGAGAGCGATAGACTGAAGTTCTACAGGCCGGGTGTTCGAGCCACCCTCTTGGCATGTCCCCAACTAGTTTGCTTTTACCGGTTCTGGGTAAGGCTCCAACCATATTAAGGCTCCAACCATATAGTTTACATATACTTTTTTCTTGTATTTAAACAGTATATGTAAACTATATAGTTGTAAACAGTTTATATACAGTATACGGTATTTGTAGACGGTTGTTCGCAGGGTGCACGACTGTCATGTCAAACCCGACACGCCTTGTGCGTGGCTTCGATAATAGTACACGAAGACCACTGTCTAATTTCCGAGGCGATCGTGAAGGCGTTCCGAGCTGTCCCAACGATTTAAGGCAGGGAAAAGCGGCTCGAAACACCGCGTCGATTCGGGGACGGACTTCACTTTGTACCCTCCTGATCAAGTACGACACGGTCTATATCCGCGTTTCCGTGGGCCGGCGCAACGGCTTGCGAAAGACGGTCCATCTTGGATGTGATTCGCCACATCATGAGCAGTCTGAACAGTCGCGTACTAACTAGTAATACCCAACTGCTCAGACAATAGTAGAGTCGCGAGACGCACCGCTGCGGCCGTGTCGAAAACGCGTATCACGGGCTCATAATCAGATTCAACTGAATTGAGAATGAAGCCGCGAGGTCTTAGATCGGAATCGCACGACATGAACGATATTGTGAACCACTGTCCGGGTCGTAACTCGTCACAAGGTTGTTGGCGGACCGACTACTCTTCCCAGTCCGTGGCACAACTTAGTGAACAGAATCGTCAAGCCCACTTGCGCAACCTCCAACAACTGTTTACGGAAATCATATACTGTATACTAAACAGTTTACAGTGTAATACACCAAAAGAGTATTTAAACATATATAGTAAACGGTTTAAACAGTTTATATACAGTATTTAAACTATATGGTTGGAGCCTTAAACCATATACATTCCATATACTCATTTTTTGTATTGTCGAGCTCGCGGTTAAGGCTAAGGCTCCAACCATTTACTTCACGTTTACTCGAGATGTGTGAATAAACTGTAAAGGGTTATATACAGTTTATAAACAGTTCATCAAGAGTAAATAAAAGGCACCCGAGAAGAAAGCCAAAAATCCTCATCTGCCCTTTGACACCGCATACTTACCTGCATCCGAGTCGCGAGTCGCAGTTATTGTCCAGAAGTTGCAAGGTGTATCCCATTGGATGTACCACTTGGACGGGGCCTACAAGCCTCGCAACATGACCAGGGATGATCTGACCGGTGACCAAACACTTTACTCACGCTAGAGGTCTCCGCGTCCTTGTCAAACGTTGAAGTCTCGAGCATGCACAAAAGCGGTTTGCGCAGCGTCGTTGTCGTTCCATGTGCCTCGTAATGTGTATATCGTATAAATATTAAATACAAGACGGTTCTACTACAGATACAGTACTGCATACTGCACATTAGGATTCAGAGGGCGTCGGGTCCTCTTGGGAAACTTCGCTTCGGATTCAATATTCATCTGCTGCTCGGCTGCGGAGAGGTTGTTGACAAAAGTCGCGACGAGAGACGAAAGCACGACCGTACGAACCACGGAGCGCCGGGCCGAGGCTGCTCGCAGCGTTAGCGCCGACGAAAGCCTCCAGCGTAGAGCGATGCATCAGCTGGAACGTTCGTAAGGGACTCCAAGGGTAATTACAGCGTCCTTACCTACATTAGGACCTTCTATCGCCCCGGGCATGTTCTCAGGCTTCCTCTTACACAGCCATTGATTTACTGTTTAATTATTAATTAACTGTTTACACGCTTTTACGCAGAAAAAGTAAATAAACATAAATTGTAAATTGTAAACAGTAAATAGACTAAATGGTTGGAGCCTTACTATATGATTGAAGTCTTCGCTCACATTTACGGTGAAGATACAACAAAAAACAGAGTCCCAATCTTGGCATGCGTCCGCCGGGAGTCGAACCCGGAGCTAGGCCATGGGAAGACCCAATGTTACCGCTACACCACGAACGCGACGTCTCTCCTTCGCTTTCCATTCCTGTAACAGTTTCGTAACGACGATTCTCGTATCAACCCCGAACTCTCACAAGTCGAGCTCGGACGGTGGGACTTATGAAACATGCGCCAGCTATTAGTATAGGGGACGGGACGTGGGACTTACGATGACGAGACGAGACGAGGCGTGGTGGGTGCGGGAGTGGGCTCAGTTCGGACGACGTGCTCGAGCATCGATGCGGAGTATCAGGCCTCAGGCCTCGGAGTGCGTACATCGAGCAGACAGCGGTCAGCGCTGGACTCTACGCGCACGCGCACGCGCACACGAGCGTGCGTGCTGCGTGCACGACGCTTGCTGCTCGTACCAGCCCCGATTCCCGAAGCGCCGCGCTTTGGATCTGGTTGGCGCGTGCGCGGGGGCAAGCGTGATGTCGATGTCGATATCGATATCGACATCGGCGGCAGTGCGTAGAGTGTACAGTGTACAGTGTACGGCGCACAGGGTTGTTTTGGCGCGTCTGAACATTGGATGCTGAGCGTGTCGAAGACCGCCGCATGAGGATCTCGGGGTGGGACGAGCGGGGTGCAGTAGCTGGGCCTGTAGTGTAGAGCGGTCCCCGTACACACTGTTTCTCGATAACCTGACATGGTCTGTCATATATCATATACCATATACCAGCCCCCGTCTCGCACCGCGGCGTACCCGAGCGGTGCGTGGCGCGAGCCGCGGGGTCCGTTCTATCATACATAAGTCTGTCTCTGTCGTACACAATCAGCTCACACAATTCGTAGATAAAGGCACCAAGACGTACCTCTTACGTTCGCAGTCCGCACTCACCGACTAACCCGACCTCACTTCTCACACTTCTCCCAACCCACACCGCACTTTTCGGTGTTCGCACGTCACGCCTTGGCCGCCTCGGCCTGGAGCTTCGACTGCATGACGTTGACGAGGACGTTCAGGTTGTCCTGCTTCTTCTGGAGGGTGTCCTGCAGCGTCTCGAGGTTGGCGCGGATGTAGTCGACTTTGGACTCGTAGTGCTTCGTGGCCTGTGTGCGGGTCTGTCGATGGGAGGGGAGCCAGGGTTAGACAGCGGCAGGAGCGCAAAGCGCAACGGAGCACGGAGCGCGGGCGGAGGGAGGGGAGGGACAGATGGAGACGGGGACGGAGACGGAGACGGACCTTTTTGACGTAGTAGCCGGTGCCGACGTCGACGACGACGTGGTCGGTGTCGCAGAGCTTGCCGGGGACGTAGAGCGAGTTCGTGAGGGGGACGAGGATCGTCTTCCCTGCGTCACTTGTCAGACAGGGCATCGACGCATCTGCGGGGCGGGGCGCACCTTTGTTCTGGGGCTGGACCTCTGCGACGTTCTCGATGCAGGCGCGGAACTTGGCCTGCGCCTGTCTGAGCTGGGTGAACGAGTTCGTGAGGTGGCTCAGCTCCTGTGCGAGGTGAAACGCGTGAGTTAGAGTTATTGGAATCGAGATCTTGGGCGGACTGGCCTCTTCGAGCTGCCTGCGCACGTCGGCGAGCTGCTGCAGGTCGAGGTCGGCGAGGTCGATCTGCTGAGGCGGCGCGGCGGCCATGATCGCTCTGCGGCAGCTCTGCGGATGCTCTGCGGAGGGATCGGGGTCGATGCACGTCGACGGTCGAGACGACGGTCGCCGGCGGGTGCGCCCCATCGAGCGGACGCGCCTTACGTAAGCGGAGCCTGGAGCGCGCGGCCGCCTTTCGCACGCGCTGCTAAGTAGACGACCGCGACACCGTCCTTGGACACTCGCCACGACCCGCCCCGACGACCGCGAGCGTGCAGACGCTTTGTACAGTGCCTATGGACGCGAAGGACCCCGCAGATGCAGGCAGGCCGCCGCAGGACCTCGGTGAGTGACGTGCGCTTGGCGCCCTCCGTCAGGCTCACGGACGCATTCATCTCGTGCGGGGCAGTCGCCGTCTTCCATGCGTCGTTCCACCCGACGAAGGGCAACGTCATCGACTGGTGCGAAAGGCTCGACGACGGTGCGTCCGCTATCTGTTGACCGTGTCGGGCCACGTCTCACTGCGCAGCGTGCACCGCAATATGATATGGTCACAGGCATCGACCTCGCCCATGTCGAGTTCAGCTGCCTGCCCAGCGGGCTGCACGCCATCGACGAGGACGTCGTGTGAGTCCCCCTCTCGTCCCACTTAACTATCGATCTTACCCTACCCTACCCCGCCCCGCCCCGCCGTAACCTAGATACTTCACCAAAGGCCCGCACCACGGCGTCTGCGTCTTCCGCCGCCGCCACACCGCCGCACACGGCCACCGCGGCGTCCGCCTCTCCTCCCTCGGCGTCCTCCTCGCCCGCGCAGAGCGCCCCCGCCCCTGGCGGCACGTCCCCGCGCTCAAGGCGCTCGCGCGCGCGATCTATGCGGCGCTGGAGGCGCGCGAGGGCGAGGGCGAGCCGACGCCCGCGGACTGGGCGCCGGCGAGCAGCTTTTTTAGGGAGAGACGGGCGCGCGCGGCGGATCGCTGTGCGGCGGGCGAGGGCACGTGGGCGGGGTGGGCGCGCGAGCTCGGGCTCGGTGCGGCTCCGCGCGCGGGCGTCGGTGAGGACGGGGATACGGACCCGGGGTGCAGCGCGCCGCGGCAACCGGACGCCTACGACCCCTCCCCCTCCCCGGAACCCAACCCGACCCTGCACCTCCCCGCGCTCCTGCGCGCGCTCGGCCCGTCCGCGCTCACGCTCTACAAGCACGTCCTGGGCCGGCGGCGCGTGCTCGTGTACACGCGCCCGCCGGTCGAGGCGGCGTGCGTGCTGTGCCGCGTGGTGGCGGATGTGTGTTGGGGGGCGGGGGTGGGGCAGGAGCTTACGGCCGAGTACCGGGATGAGGATGAGGATGAGGATGAGGGGGGTGGGTACCACGACGACGAGGAGGGTGGTGGGTACCACGACGAGGAGGATGGCGAGGCGCGGCGGCGAAAAGGAAAGGGACAGGGAAAGGGAAAGGCAGAGTCGCGCGCGAACGAGGGCATCCCCGTCCTCGGCATGGTCACGCTCAGCGACCTCGCGCGGCTCGACG